TCAGCATAACGACCCCAACACCAATCCGGGTCCTAATTTCACCCACCTCGGAAGGATGGAAGGCTGAGTCAACCCTGAGCCAGTGAGATTTGAACAGCCGAACTGCAGATAACAGTCAGCTGAAGTGGCTGCAGTACAGCACTCTAACCACTGCGCCACCTCGGCTCTGGTAATAATAATAATTCCCCAAATGAAAAGATGAGGAATGAACATATTAAGATTATGATACCAATTCCTTTCCTTAACATTTGAATGTATTGCATTTCCTTTGATGATCTCAGATTAAAGAAATTATGAAATAAGATTTTGTAATGAATAAGTATAATGAATAACTGGAATTCTTAAAAGGGGGACTGCTTTCATTTGTAAATAATCACAATATTAAATCAATTTAAAAATGAAATGTATTCTTGAAATTTTTTTGAAGATGCCTTTTCAGATAAGGCTATCAGTTTGGGTCTATCAAAACTGATGGCCATTACATGTTAACAAATTAGATGTTAACCATTAGATGTTTCTGTAGGAATACAGAAAAATAAAATCGTGCTATCTTGCAGTCATCTAGATTTTAGCAGCTCAGATGTGGTGTCTCTATTCTCTGAACATAATAAATTGTACCATAAGGATCTGGCCTGTGTTGCAACAATTACAATTCAAATTTTAACTTGAATTATGCTATCTAGAGGAACCTGTCCAAGAAAATAGATTTAATTTGAATCTTCCCTTTTTATGACAGCTGGGTGGTACCTGTCTCCTGGGAGTTGGAATCTGGGTCATAGCTGATCCCACAGGATTTAGAGAGATCGTGGCTACGAATCCTTTGCTCTTTACTGGAGCATATATCATGGCAGCTATGGGAGCTATGCTCTTCTTATTGGGATTCCTTGGTTGCTGTGGAGCGATCCGTGAGAACAAATGTCTCCTCCTTTTTGTAAGTACAACTAAGTGGATTATTTTTTCCAGTGTACCCACTTGTGTTATTTTGACCTAAGTCCAGAAAACAATGTTATAAATCACTACAATTTATTTTATTTTGAATTTCACGTTTCAGAACCACTCATGTCCCTCAGAGAAGGACTCTCTTTTTTGTTACTTTCATTACACCATTTAACTTTAAGGCTTTTTCATCCCAGAGAAAAATAATATAAATTATTTTTCTTTGGGATAAAAAAAGGAATATAAATGGAAAAGTATATGTTGTCATGTGGAATATTTCTGAAGCTTGGTTCAAAATAAATCAGGATTGTTAATTCACAATTTAAACAGTTGTCTTATCCTTGAATACAGATAAAATGAAAATTGTGGTTTCTGTAAAATAATTTTAATATCATGCATTTTAATTATTTAATACCATGCATTATATTTTAAATTCATGGAATAATCAAAATTATTTGAATAAATTGTAGAGTTACTTAAAAGTTACTTAATTAGTTGTAGTAGTTGTAGTTGAGTTTATTTATAGGCCGCCCTTTTCCCTGAGGGGACTCAGGGCGGCTAACAACTTGTATGGGAGGGGAAGACAT